TAAATAGAGTCTAATTTTTTTTTATTAAATTATAAAATAATTAAAATAATTTTAGTATGCAATTTAATAATAAAATAAATAAATAAATAAACTATTTCGAAAAAAAAGGAAACTCAAACTTTCCTATAAAAAAAATCAAACTCGAACCAATTGTAATAATGTATACTCCATCCCTTTATTTTTAATGGTAACTTTTTTAACTTTTTGAATATAAATTTCATATAAAAATTTAATATATTATATAAATGATAATTAAAAAATTTTTAATTAAATAAAAATATTCGACAAGAATTTTATATAAAGAAAATAAATTTTCGATTGTTATTCATATAAATTAAGAGTGTTCATATCCGGTCCAATCCAATTGATCCGACCTAAACTGATCTAATCCAATTAAAAACCAAACCAAACCGATATAAAATTGAGTTGGTTTGTATTATAAAAATTTAAAATTGATATAATTGGTTTGATTTGTGGTTTTACTTTTAAACTGCACGAACCGTCCGATTATAAAAAAAAAATCCGATTATAAGATAACTTAATTAAGTAATATAATATTTTTATAATATTTCAAATTTTTTTTTCTTATTTTACAAGATAATAACTCTGTTGATTTAATTAAAAATAAAAATAGCATATCTTATATTTCTTAATTTATTTTTTCTTTTGTTTTAATTATATACCTAAATTTTAATTCTAAATTTCAAATTCCCCTACAATTCTACCTTTATAAGTAAGTTGCAACTTTATTATTAAAACCCTACTTTCTTGAGTGGCGTGTACTTGACAAGGTTGTAGTCTTCATTTTGCTGGGTTTATTCTTAAACACATAATATGGCTGTCGACACAATGGGTTAATAGTTCAGAATCAAACTTTCTGTTTTCTGTTTTGTGTCGACACGTAATTCAGAGTGTCAGCACCATACGTTCAGCGTCGAACATTCAAATTTCTTATTCTATTTCGAATCCTACTTCTGTTTCAAATTTTACTTCTATTCCAATTAGGGTTTCTAAAACTTTATAAATACTCATCCAAATTCAGAATTAAAAGAGTTTGGGAGGTTGGTGGCAACCCTCTTTTGGGTATTCTTGGAGATCAAGATAAAAATTTAAGAATTTATTTATAATTTTTAAATCTTTTCAATTTTTACAATTATAAAAGAGTATAAGAATTTGTTTATAATTTATATTTTTTTAATTATATTTTTATTTATTTGGATATTAACGTATTTTATATTTATGTTTTTTACTTAATGTTAAATTTATTTACATTATCTTATATATTTAATAGTGTTAAAAACTGATCAATCCGACCGAACCACACAAATCCGATTTAAATTGGATTGGTTTGATTATCATATAATAGTTGATTAGATTGGTTTAAAAATTTTACTAACTGATTAAATTGGATTGGATTAAAAAATGTTAAAATCCGAACTAAACCAC